AAAAAACAGAAAAACCATGAAAATTTGGAAAAAAATTTCGTTTTTCTAATCTGTTTTAATCTAACAATAAATTTCTAATCTAACAATAAATTTTCTTAGTTTATACGAAAATTTACTCGTTCATGAAAAAATTTGTAAAAATCCAAAAAAACAAAAAACCATAAAAACTTGACCAAAAATTCTTGTTAATTTGTTAAAAAAATTTAAAATTTATCCAAAAAATTTATAATCATTCGCAAAAAATTTGAAAAAATTTTAGTTTTCAGAAAATTAAAAAAATCGCTTGAAAAAAATCATTTATTAGAATTTATCTTATCGATTGATAAAAAAAGATTCACACCAAAATTCTCAAAAACTCGCTTTATCGCATTCGATGCTTTTCGTTAATCGTTGATAATAATCTTGATCATATTCCTCTTATGAATGTGCTTTTGTGTGTTGAAATTGTTTGTAGCTTCGAGTATCTTATGGATGATGCGCGCAATCAACACCATCGCACCGCGTCTTCGATAGTTCAAAAAAATAATTTCAAAATGAGGAAGGCCTAAAAATTTTAAAAGTTGAAAAATGCAAAAAAATCTGAGTCCAAAAATCCAAATATAAGTTTAATAATATGCAAAAAATTTACGATTTAAAAAAAGCAAAATCAAAAGGACACCAGATATCAACAAAATTTCAAAATCGTCAAAAAAAACTCTTTACCTGGTGTTCGTTCTGTTTTTTGGCTTGACTCTTTACTGAGGAAATCCCAAAAATTTTTAAAATTAAAATCTGCAGAAAATCTAAGTCCAACAATCCAAAAAATCGAAATATGAATTAAGAAATATGCGAAAATGCTACAATTTCAAGAAATCTCAAATTCGAAAGGAAAGAATTTTCGAATTTCAAATTCAAAAAAATCTTAATAGTCTCAAAATCCAAAAATCGTTATTCGTTGATGTGCTCGAGCATAACGTTCACGTGAATCCTTATATCCTTGCTTTAGAGCCTCTGTTTCGTCAGAGTGCTTCTTCATTCAGGAGTATCCAGAAATCAATGTTTCTTCCGTGAACTCATCGTTTTTGGTGGCCAACTGCTTGGTGAAGTTCAGCGCGTTGAAGAAATGAACTTGAGATTACGAATGAGTTCATATGCGGTAGCATTGATTATGCTATTCGACGAAACGTATTTTCAAAAATTTTGCAGAAAAAAATCATCCTAGTCGAAAACTTATTTCAGGAAAAAATTATGAAGAATCTTCGAATGAGATTAAATTTTTCAGAAGATTTGACTCGTCTTATCTATGGGCCTGTTCACCTGTTTGAGGGGATGATTAATAGCTTTATACCAGCAAGTATGAGATTGTGAAAGAAATTGAAGTTGCAAGATGATGAAGTCGATTGCAATACTATTAAAAGTATGTTGGCAGACTAGGTTTGGTGAGCTACCATACCAAGTTGAAAGAAATTGAGAGGAGTGATAAGGCATAGGATGAGGTGGAGAGGGTGGAGGGTGAGGGAGGGTGGTATGAGGTTGAAGGAGGTTGAGAGCAGCAAACAATTTGATGTGATTTCGACAAATGTTACCAGATACGGTGGTGGAGTTGGATGCCACCACTGGCACGTCAAAAAATTCGTAAATTTATTCAAAAAACTGAGCAGATGAAATTTGAACAGGTCTGTAGATAAGGCGAGTCAGATCATTTGATGGAAGTCGATCGGCTTCCATCAAATAGTTAGGGGGAGGGAGTTGGGGGTAGGGGAGGGGTGGGGAGTG